CAGATGCAATGCTCAAATGCAATATTGGTTTCAAGTTTGGAATGTGTCTTGGCCCTTCAGAAAAAGCTTTTCCAAAGAAAGGTGAACTGTCAGGTCACTCATACATTTTGAGCTACATGCAGCATGTTTTTTAAGAGCCTTTCTGCACTCAGATTTACTCTCACTCGCTTCAGTTCTGACCAGATTTTCCAGTTGCTGCTAAAATAAATAAAWAAAAAGCCCAMTGATGGATTGAAACGGGTGAGCAGAGTTTTGCTGTGCCAGACATGGTGCTTAGACTTTTGGYCAAATAGTTCATTTTTGTCTCATCAAATCAAAGACTGGTTTCCATCATATTCGTARAATGCATTAAATATTGTTTGACAAACTCAGAGTCTCGCTCGTGTTTTTGTCTCATAAAAGCCTGTCTGACAGAGTGATTCTGGGACGGCTGTCTTCCTGGCAGAGTCTTCAATCTCTGAAGAAACCTTCTAAAGCTTTCTGGGTTGGCTGTCTGTTTCATGGAAAGCTCATTAAACAAGGGAGGAGGACCGGACAACCAGACTTTTGTATTTGCCCTCTCAGTTTGTAAACACAAACTACAAGTGTCACAATAGTTCAAATATGCACTAAGTATTTATTTGCCACATTTTGTAAATGTTTATAGAGCGCTCGCTGACTTCAAACAAAATGCAAATGATTGCAAGTTTGGAAACCAATGCAGGGGGGGAATAGAAGTTTAATTATAGCACTGGATATAGTAAAACATGAAGTCTGTCTTAGAGAACTTAGTGCATTAATATCCAATCACAAACAGCAGTAGAGCAGTTASAACGGTTGTCTCATAGTGAGAAGGTTGCAGGTTGCCCCCAAGCTGTTCTGTGTGGAGTTTACATGTTCTTTCTGTGCATGCGTGGGTTTTCTCCAGGTYCTRACATTTCCTCCCACAGAACGGAGAGGTGGATGTTAGGTTAAATAGTAGGTGAATTATCTGAATTGTCCCTGTGTGTGAATGAAGTGTGAAATGTGTGCCTATGGTGGATTTGTGACCTCTCATGTGACTGCAGGAGGCACCAGCTGCCCTTTGACCCAGACAGAAATCAACATGTCAAAGAAAAAAAAAACAGATAAATGGCATCTATTCAGTTCATTTTGTGTAGCACAGTCCTCCAACTGGGTGTGCTGTCTGTCGCTGTCCATGGTCCTGAAAATCCTCAACAGCCTTTTTTACTCATGACTACTTTTATCCTAAGAATTTTAGAGCTGTAAATGGTAAATAGTTCTCTAAAGTTTGATCATTTCAATGTTTAAATGGCTGTCATATATGTTTCAAAAGTAACTGAAGAAATGGAAAAATATTCATACAGCCCAGAGTTAAATTGAAAGAAATTAAAATAAATGTGTCCTTCTTTTATGTGTTTCAACATTAAACTATTGTTTACTGCATGCAGGTCTAATCCAAGGAATGGATTAAATGATGTGATAATAAGATTTGATGATTTGCTTGATGACAAAGTGAATTACTTGTGTAAATATTACTATATTCTGCAATTAGTAGCTTCTTTCTCATTTTGATGCAGTTCTTTAAGTATCAGAAATCCATCCATCATCTTCATCTTATTCCAAGTTGGGTCATGGGGCCAGCAGCTATAGATGGGAGGCCCAGCTCTCACTTTTCCCAGCTACCTCTTCCAGCTCTTCCGGGAGGATTTCAAGGCATTCTCAAGCTGGCTGTGAGACAGTCGCTTCACACTCGGCTGCAAACCGCTCCAGTGAAAGCTGAAATCACGACACAATGACGCCAACAGGACTACATCAATAACTGAGACGGAATCCTGAGGCCACCAAACCGAACTCCCTCCGCCCCCTGGCTGCACCAAGAGACTCTGTCCGTAAAAGTTATGAACAGAATCAGTGAAAATGGGCAGTTATAGCAGAGTCCAACTCCCCTTGAGTCAGTGATGTATTACCTAAATAAATGCGCTCTTTGCAGAAAATGTGTGAGAATTCAGTCATTTGCCTTTTTTTGAATTAATTAATTAATGCGTGACAGCTCAAACAAAAATGCAGTTGGATTACTTGGTTGAGAGTAAGTTGAGCTGAAAAGAAGGTAAAGGCAAGCAACTATCGGATTCCCACCCTCCTGGGATCTCCCTCTGATTTCCATTTCTTCATCCCCCACCTTTCCATAAACTGTTATCCAATTAGGTGATTCTTCCAACTTTAATCAATGGGGACATGAGCCAGCACAGAGCGACATGAATACCGACAGTCACCATCAGCAGCTCCACCTGCTCTACAAGTACTGTCCAGTCTGCTTGAACAGTGGAAAAAAGGTAATAAGTTGTAGGGAGTAAAATGTTAACACATGTGACAGGAGCAGAATCACAATTATGTGCCATGCTGGCGAAGACAGTCCTGAGCACACACACACACACATCCATGCACACACACACACACACACACATAACTCTCACACAACATGATATGAATAATCATTTAGACTAATAACTTTGTCAGTTTATCTTTTAGGTTAAATTAAAGTCTGGTAAGACAGTGCAAAAGTATAATCTACAGTTTTAGAGATATGGTTATAGTGAAATACCCTTTTTTATTATACACTTAAGTAGAAATGTTCTGCAGCTTTATTGCTTATTGAACATTGTTAAGATTACAGGTGAATCTGCAGCAGAGTAGAGCAGTAGGCAAAGCACAGAATTCAGCACAGACCCAGCAGGTCTTACGGTCTATTTCTAAAATCCCAATGGGTCTCGAATATGCTTTAAAAAGTATTGTGCTCTGATAATCCTTTTTATTTTATTTATTTTAATTCACTGAGTTGCATCTAGAGCAGCGTAACAACTGTGGCTAACACATACCAACTATTTATGGCCTTTTAACATTTAACAATTTGCAATTTGCTTAACTTGGGGAAAAAATTAAAATTCAACAAAATTTCTTCTACTCCTTTCATGAATGTAGGCACGGAAAGAAAAGCTGGTGTGATGAAAACTGTTCTTTAACGTACTAAAACAAAAGCTCATTGATCATAAATTAACAGTACTCAGGAGGTTTATTACCACCATAAACATTGACCACGGGGAGCCGAAATGTGAATTTCAGGAATATTAAACAAACAAATCACGACAAGACTATCAATTGGACTCTTGATCACACACTCAGTCTTGTTTACTTCATTAATCTACTGAGACCAGCAGATCACAACCAGAACACTTCACCTCCCCACCCACCCACACCCCGTTCCATGCTTCTTATGAACCTGCGTTTCTCTTGCAGCATCATTAAATATATATTTTTCTAAGCTGAGTGATCTCCTTCTAATCCCACCACCGAACAACACCTCCTCAGCTCTTTTTTTCTGCACAGAAAGTGTTTATGAGAGCGGCCCAAATGATGATTACATAATGAGCTACTACCTCTGCAAATCTGCTGCTAATTATAGTTGGAAAGGCTGCAAAATCTGAATGAAAGACAATATGCTAATTACACTGTAACTTTTCATGTATGTAAATCTAGCTCTTAAAGAAAAACCTGTGGTTAATATTACTGCTTATCACATATTTTTTGTTGTTGTTGTTTTCTTTTACAAATGGTTAGCCGTGGCAATCCAGTAATTAACCTTCCAAATGCCTCAGCACATTAAAAAAATGACCCAGCAACATTTGATGAGCATCAATTAATTCAATATTGTTTACATTGTGTCAAACTTTACTCTTATGTTTGGGATTACACTAATGCCCATTTTAAGGGGCAGCAATAGCATTATTTTTTGTGTATCTGCTCATTCCTATTTTTTTGTTAATGCCAAATCAATGGACAAAATGCATAAAAACCCGTTTTGGTCATTTTGTAACATTTTGCTTCGACTCAGTTTCCTCATGAAGTCCTTCAGTGAGCTCACAGTTGTATAGTTTTTTTTTTTTTCAGCCAGGCATACCAGTCCACACAGACAGGAGCTGTATCTGCCTGAGATGGCCTGAGTTTCAGTCACACTCAGCCAATTTCTATTTATAATGCACCCCCCTTCCCCATTACTGCATCCTATCAGGCTATTTTATTTTATAAGTGATGGTCTATGGAAAATACTCTACACTTGACAGAAGATATTTATAAAAATAAATCATCACTGACATGTCTAGATAAAACCATTAATCATTAATCATCAGGAGGAGAATAATAACTGGGTATTCACCTACTGAACAAAGGCTTCTGAATGACCAAGCACAGAAATAAACATTCTACTGTATTTAGTCACTCACAGGAGCTGAATAGAATGTCCCCGTGTCCAATTAGTCTTTAATGGAGACAGAAGGTATCTTTGTAATTTTGTATTCTGTAAATGTCTGCATTTGAAAATAAAATTGCTGCTGCAATAAAGACTTATTTTTGACAGCATTTTACTTTTATTGAAATGTACCGTTTCTAGTGTTTATGAAAGAGCAAATGGTAAAAAGTGATGAGAATCTTTATGTTTTCACTGTAAGTTCATCAAATGACCTTTTAAATATCTGACCATAAGTGATATACCCAAGCTTCACTTTTTTTTATCTGAGCTTGTGCTACACTAATTGCCTCTTTAGAACTGCCAACATGTTTTGCGTGCACTCCTGTTCTGGATTTGCAAAAGGTTATATTTAGTGTATGTGGTTGTACCCTTATTTTATGTTCTATTTTCAGTGGCATTCCATGTCATGAGAGTATGGACATAATAAAAGACTATTATATGGAGTTCACATACTAGCTGTAAACAGAAAAGAAACATGTAACAAGTGGCATTCACTATCAGGTTCTAAAAAAATAAAGAAAAATCAGCTACAAGGCAATCATGACTACTTTAACATTTCGTCTGACTGTTCATGAGATACGGTAGGGACAGTTTAACAGCAGCAGGGTCAAACTTACCCCTGAGGTCATGTGATGTCCCTGCTAAATTACTGSTGCTCCAAGACATGCTGTAATTATGAACTCTAAAACAACATACTAAATTTCATACTTCCTACCTTCTTGTACAGCCTGGAAAGGGTTGTTCCCATCAACAAATTCCACAGAGAAGGTGATCTTTTCCGTTTCCAAGATCTCATTGTTCAAATTGAGATCTGCCACAGCCAGGCGAAATACCTCGTCATCTTTCCGCGCTGACTCATCAAAGATGGCACCTTTTAAAAGCAGAAGAAAAAACAGACAGGTTAGCATTAAAAGTGAAGGAAACAAATTTATCAACCTCCATTTAAAAGAGAGTTACTTTAATATATAAATCTAAGAATACATTTTGTGTAATTCCCCTGAGCTTAACTGTATATTTAAAATGTTGGCAACACTTTCTTTTACAGTACCCTTATTACCATGTTACAAGGTAATGAAAGTAATTAAATGTAATTACTACCTTATTACCATGCAATTATGTGGTAATTGRGGTACAAAAGAAAAAAATACCATTAGTAAAACTATCTTAATTAGGTAACTACAATCAAATTACTGTTCAATAGTAACTCAACACTATTTATATAACCAAAACAATGCAACTAAATTTTGGGGTTAGTGGTTAATTGCAATAAAAATATAACTTTAAAACTGTCCAAATTACCTACTACATATGTAGAAGTTACATAGTGAATTGTAATACATTACCAGGTAAGTGCTACATTACTGCAGATAATTACATAGTAAAATTGTACCATAATTACCATGTAATTACATGGTAATAAGGTAGTAATTACATGGTAATAAGGTAGTAATTACATTTAATTTTATTTTTATTACCTTGTTATTACATGGTAATAAGGGTACCATAAAAGAAAGTGTTATCAAACTGTTCAGTTTTATCACAAACAGATGTCTTAATATAGATCAAAAAGTTTTTTGCAATCATACAGTATGTGACAAAACTGTTAGCACAATCTTATAAAAACCAGAACCTTCATTTAAGGCATTGTTCTCAGCAGTATGTGAAACTGAAGACTGTTAAAACAAACCATCTGTGTTCATAGAATGTGGATATGACAAAAGTACACTGAGTAAGAGCCTTTATTTCATTACACCATGCTTGGTCAAGCCCAGAAATGAGGATTTTACGTATCCAGCCCCTGAACTGGGTCTCAGGAGGGTTGAACTGGGGTGAAAGAGAGAAATGGGTTGGAAAGACTGCTCTTTTTAAAGTCAATCACTGTCCAAGCAGGACACATTGACTCAGCCAAAGCAAATGCTGAACAAAAGGCAATAAAAAAAGAAGGGAAAAAAAAGAAAGTGCTGGTGGTGTGCCAGTATCTGCTGTAACCGATAAAGTTCCCACTAGTCAATGCTAAATTAGTCATACAATTAAATGTCAGGCTGCCTGCAGAGAAAAAACGGATGAGGCGACAAAGTGTGTTGACTGATTGGTAGAGATCTGGTATTTGCTTTAAACGGTTACACACAATTAACTGTGTGCTATCTTTTCTTTTTTTTATTCTTCCCTTTTAGCTTTTCAGTTCGACCTAGTTTAGCCCCGAATCCATTGAAGTACTCATTGTGCAATCCAATGTAGTGAAGTGCTGCTAAAACTTACTAATGTGTGGATGCAGTATAGGTATTTGTGCATGTGTTTAATATGCAGATTGCCATTTACAGTAATCATAATAACGTTCTAGGGCTAAAGGCTGTTTGCCACCACCTAGGATAGTTTTTGTATATAATTTGTCTTAAACAGTCTGATATTACAACCACAAAAGTTATGGTTTAAATTTTGCAAAAACTAAAGAAAAGTGTGATGGTTCAAAGTGCAGTTCTTTGAGTAAAGTCATTCTGAAAACAAAGTGTATGAATGCTTAAGTTAGGTATTCTCATGTTTTTTCACTAAGATAAATTGATATTTTTTTAAAAGAACCACACCTATAATACTTCTAATCTAATTGAATAGTGTGAAAAATTACATTTAACCATAACAAATCTCTGTCCAGCATTAACCTTGAAATCCACCATCTTTTCTCATCTATTTTAATTTAAATTAAATATTAATCAAGTTCAACTCCAAAAGATAATTAACTTCAGAACTGCTTTTACACACACCWCATTCAAAGCCACATGCTGTTAGAGGCAATTAGAAACAGTAATCTAACTGCCTCTTCATCAAAAGACCTCATAAAATATATATTTCTCAATCACTTAAATCTGCTGAATTCAGAAAATATAAGTTTCCAATTATTGATTGCATCATGGTTGGTTTTATAATCATCCAATATAGATGAGGACAGACAAAAAAGGGCTGGAAAACACAATAAAAGATACACAAAGGCATTAACTATTCCATTAGAGTTAAATTATGAATAGCCTTCAAATCGGTCTGAGGATGACACTGCCGGGAAACAGTTTGTAGACATTTTTAAGCAGGAGTATGGAAAGTTGAGGCCATTTTAGACTTTCTGCTTAATGGAGAAAAAAATAGGCAAGCTGATTTTAACACAGTGATAAAGATTAAAATGTAACTGTTTAAGAATTTTTGGTTTTAGCTGTTTTGTGTAATTACCAAAAACAGTTCATTTTTCCTGCTGCAGCTATGTTTTAAAATTGGCACAACAATGCTAGGAGGTGGTGATTACAAAGTTTTGTGAAAAAGATTTTTTTAAAAGAGTAGCCGAATGAACACTAAATGGCTCCTTTAATCTGAGACTGCACAGTGATGTTGCCATAGTAACATGCTCCCAGACATATGTTAAAAGCTGCACAGTGATGTATGCTCTCTTTCTATATGGCTGCATGGTTTTCTTTGTATATGTTTAACTATTTTGATCCAATGAGTATAATAGCAATATGAAATCAAAACTTGAAAAACACAGTTTTATGCCAAGTTAAACAGACAAATTAGTAATGTATTTTGTTTCTTGCGTCATCTGTCACAACAGCATTTTTTTGTAAACACTCAATATGCTGAGAAACACTAAAATGAGGTAAATTAGGGGTGTAATCTTTCTATTTTTTTCCAAATCCCAACAAGTAATGACAACTCCATTTTTAACTAAATTATTTTAATGCTCATTAATGTGTTTGATGTTTGGGGAAATAAATAAATAAATAAATAAATAAATAAATAAATAAATAAATAAATAAATAAATAAATAAATAAATAAAAACAGAGCAATCAGAAAACAGCAATAGGAACCTCTTAAATTATCACTTTCCTCTGTATGGACATTTGACAATAAATTCATATATTTTTAATTCACATGACAAACAAAAAATGCAAATCACAGGACTCCCCTCCCATCTTTTGCTATGGCTGCTATTTTGGAATGGCACCACTGCATGCTTATTTACAAACATAAATACACAAACACCACACACACACACACACACACACACACACAAACCTGCACAACACACAGGACCCTGGCTTGTTTCCCATTTCCGGTAATGTGATTGCGAGGCAAAAGGCAGACGTCATGACATTAGTCAGGTAGGAAGTTGTTTAAAAATATATCCAAACAGAACACATAGAAGCCCCAAGGGCAGAAAACACATACAGACAAAATCATCTACCTTTTTCCAAACCATCACTTCCATGACAACAGCACCATCACCAAGAGTGGTCAAAATGACCGGATGTGCTATCCAAAGGCACAGACTCCAAATCATTTGACCAAAACACATTGATGTGATGTCTACCGGTGGTCAAGTGTTTGGTATTCACCTTGTAGTTTGTTTGCATTGATAGAAGCAATAAATAACTTGTTCATCTATTCACTGCTATATAGCCCGCAGGGAGAGATGAGAGATGCTGSAAGCAAAAGAAAAATGAAGAGGGGGACATGTCACTGTGTGCAAAAATATAATAAATCAGCCAAAAGGATTTTCTTCAGCATTTTTATTGTCCCCCTCACAACATAAAATATGAGTATTAAAAGTGTTACTATTACTATTTCTGGTTGGAAAAACAAAAATTAATCTTCACCTATATGAAATGAAACACACTGTAGAAGCTTTATTTACAGGACCTATGACAACTTTATGACTGTTTTCTATTAAAAAAATATGCATACATGCATTCATACATACATACATACATACATACATACACACTTAACAGGGATGGCCCGTGGCATAGGCAGTATAGGCAAATGCTAAAGGCATCTAGGGGGCATCACAAATGCGGGATGAAAAGAATTCTAACTTTTTTATCAGAGTACTTGATTTAGTCTATAGAATAATCAGTGTTTACTCAAGTTTATGAGGGTAACTTGTTATGTTGCAGAGGATGTTTTATGATAAAAATATAATGTGATGCAGTCAAGACTAACTACTGGTGCTCAGTGTAGAAATAGAAAACAAAATAAGGATAATGGAAATTTATAGTGTTCTACTTCCATAAAATACTGATTTTATATTGTTTTATTAATCCCAAGAATTTAGTCAAATTCTTTTCAAATGGCTGGAAAATGCATAGTTTTCCAGGAGAGTATAACCCTGGACCCCTCTAGAACTGCTTCAGTCCACCGCTGCTCGTTAACATGAACAGGTGTTCCTCATTGCTGTCAATAAATGTTGGCAGGTATGAGTTACACTTCAGGTATTCTGTTTCAAAGTATTATATTGTTAACTACTTTGATTGAACAACATAGTTTTTAAAGATAAAAAATATTATCAAACTATGTTTAGTATGTGAACGTCTGAATTGGCAGTAAGATTTAAAAAATTGCACAAGGAGCACCATCTGAAAAATTGCTTAGGGCCAGCCCTGATAAGCCTTTGACCATTGTTCTTTTGTATGTTTAAAACAGCTACAACTGATCCAGATATTGGTATTGTGAATGAAAGTTTCCAAAACACTAGAATAAAAAAACATGAGATCATTAGTATTATTTTAATCTTTAAAATCTCTCTTTTCCTCCAGCATCTAGTAAAGTGGCCAAAACAAAACAAAAAAAAAAAAAAAAACAGCTGGACAATGATGCTCTTATTGAATACTTAATTAGAACAAGTAATGAAGTTCAGATGAACCTTTTGTGAACATAATTAGTTTTTTTTTTTTCATTATGTAAACAAAAGTGTTGGACAAGTGGAAAATGTCAAACTAAATTGGTTAAAGAGGCAATGACTGACATAAATATCAAACGATTCTGCTAAGGATTATAATTCCATTGTCATTACATTTTTTGTAGATTGGCTTTGGTAAGTTTTGACACAT